GGGGCGGCGAGGGCAAGGGGGGTACTTAGTCAAATGTAAGAGAAAGCTATAGCTTGATGATAATCATCGTAATTGTAGCTAATGTTTATTAGGTGCTTACTATGTTCTAGGCCCAGTGTCAAGTACTGTAGTACATGCACTGTTTCACTTAATCACGGTAATTTCCCTCCAAGAAAGCTATTACTAGTGATGGATTTTACAGATGAGAAAAATGGCGGTTTGTACCAGGAAAAGTAATGTACTCCAGGTCTCAGAGTCAAGATAGCACAGAAACAGTGCCGGTGGGCACAGAGCTCCTACTATCAATCACCACACCAGGCCGCCCCCAATCCTGACAGACAGAGAGATGTTCTGGTAATGACAGAAGACAAGAAACCAAGATGGTGCACCCTCTCTCAAGCCAGTGCTTCTTCACTGTAGCTGTCTTCAGCACTGCCCGGAAGCTTTTAAAATACAAATGCCTGAGCTGCAGAGCCAAGACCTGATTCAGAATGTACCATAGAGAAACCAGCCACCTGTATTTTTAACAAGCTCCTTACATGATTCAAATGCACACCCAAGAATAAGAACCAGTATTCCAAGCAATATACTTCCACACCTTGGTGGATATACTAAAAATCTGGGACAACATAAGTGATAAATGTCACCTTACAACTTCTTAGAAGAAATCTAAAGGGTATGAGACCTGTTTGCTTGTTTCCTCTAATTCTGGGCTCTACCTTCTACATTTGTTCAGCACACTAAAAGTACAGTTTGCTTGTCAGTGCCTTTCACCTCGATATACCAATGCAATGTCTGCTGTGTGGTGTATATGCATGGAAACTTGGAGATAAAACACTAATACCCTTTTCTACCCTTCGTCTGGCAGCACAGTTGAAAAACCTGGCAAGGTGACCCTCAGGAGCCTCCTCTCCAGGAAGAGGGAGGCAGCTGACAATCTGAGGCCGGAAGCTTTGGCACAGAGTCACCTCTGAGAGAAAAGGATGGGCTTCAACTTCTGTACAGAGCAGGGGCCCTGCGGAGAGATGGGGGGAAACGTGTGCTGATGCGGAACAATTGGAGCCTCTCAAATGGAAGCACCAAGCAAACTACTCTGGGAGTTTCAGGACCTGAAGAGAGGGCTGACCCGTGGAAGACTAAGGAGATAATAAACTGCAAGTACATCACCGAGGAGAAAAGGCATAAATGGATTCAAAAGAGGCAGATACGCAGACATAAGAGGAAATGAGGTTCTGAAAAATCATATGCCAAGTTTGAAGGTAGAGGAGAGGCTTTGTGTGTGTGTGTGTGTGTGTGTGTGTGTAGGTGTGTGTGTCTGTCCACACAAGCATGATCTCTCTAACAAGGTATATGCTCTGTGGCAAGAATCTGAAGAAAGATAAGGTCACATCACACCTGGACAGGTATCACAGCATGAAACCATGCACAGCATGTTTATATCACCGAGTGCCTACAGTGATATAAACAACCAACTAATAATATCTGAACCCAACTCTAGTCAAGTGGACAAAAGAAACGTGACTTTTTATATCTGCATTAACAGGAAGAATCTGAATCAGTCAAAATTTTAGAGCAAAGTCTATGGACCACAGACTGTGGTACATACTCCACAAGCAGAACACAAGGCGATTCTGGGGTTGGATGTGGATGAACATTCTTTATCTTAACGGTTACACATTTATTTTCCTATATATTAGGGAACAGAACAGTGAGACCATCAAACTTATGTTTTTGGAGCTTTTACTGAGTAGGAATAGGCCATGTAAAGAAGTGAGTTGATTTAAAGTTGATGTAAAGACATGTATTAAACACAGTGAATGAGTTATGTGGCTGTGGCATAAAGAGTGAATGAAGGTTTATGCAGATGATTCAGGTTTGGGAAGTAGGGAGCTAGGTATAGAAAGAGGCCTCACACTGAAAAACATTGTCATTACTGAATATACAATTATTATTATGGAATACACATTATGGAAATGCAATTTCCCCCACAAATCAGCTGTGGGATCTTTATCTATATTTGAATTCCAAAGAGAAAACTCAGCAAAGAGCTTTGATAAATCAGTCTTCTGTCTTTGTCCATAGACCAGACAAAGGGAAGTGTAAGGTGTGTGAAGACTTTATTGTGCGTTGCCACCTGTTCATCTAACCCTGATGGGTGGCCAGATTACAACCTAGGAGGGGCGAATGCCAGTAGAACCTTCCAGCTCCTGGCCCAGTCTTCCTCAGCATCAACTCACCCTACTCCTCCTATTGTCCTCTCTAAGCCAGGAGAGCCATTCTAATTTCCCAGAAAAAAGGGGGGATTCTGAAACAGATTACTAAAAAGAATATTCATCTACACACATCTATATACTTTAAATGAAAATGTTTCTTTTGAAATGTTTCTTCTCTGAGAAATGGGGGGAAGCTAAACACCCCACGAATATTCAAGCATATGGAGATTTTGGTCTTGTTTTCAGGGAGCATTTACTAACATTTGGAGGAAAGAGGTATTGCTTCACCCTCTTCCCGTCTCCCACCCTCTGTTCGCCATCTGCAGACAGGGCCAGCAGTTGGCTCTACAGCTTAGGCAGGCCTGCTTTCACACATCCTTAACTTTCATCCCCTGCCTGTGAGATAAAATTAATCATGGGCAAGGATCTAATTGATTTTCTCCTGATCTCCATCTTTTTCCTCCATGCTCCCAGAGTATGCTTCTAGGCTGGTCCCAGAGCTGCTTTTGCTTCAGTCTCATCATAACCTCGGCACTATGGAAAGCTTAGCAGCATTTACCAGCACTGTCTGATCTGTCCCAATCTGCACTGTACACGTTTGTACAAAACATGAGGTGACCATGGCTCTCCTGGAAACCCGAGAAGCACATCACCTCACAGTCTTGTTCGTGGCAGATGTGGGTGTGGCCAGGCCTTTTCCAAGCCTTTGCTGGTACATGTGGAGGAACCCAGGCCATGTGGACACCACAGTGAGAATGAGCCAAGCTAGACAGTCAAGAGGAACACAGATTATCATTCGAAGGGAAGTCAATCCAGGTACAGGGTCAAAGCCCTAAAACTGCATATCCATTGACCTAGAAATCTTTCCAGGAATTTATCTTAAGGAAATGATCATGACTATGAATAGATTTAGCTACAAAGATCATAACAGTAGCTTTATTCATAAATGCAAAATACATGAAACACCCAAATGGTACTAAATACACCAAGGTACAGCCGTATTATGGGATACTGTGACATCTTTAAATGCATGATGTTTGGGGTGGAGGGGTGGTGAAGATTTGTTTTCTGGCGTTATGATAAGGAAAGCCATCACTTTTAAAATGCGAGGGGCTACTAAAACTCATTTTTGTAACAAAGGAAGAGAAAGATGCCAATTCTGATCTCTTCAAGGCAAAACAGGTCATTATTCCACTTTGTGTTTTGTCCTTGTAGTGATAATAATCACAGCCCTCCACAGCATTTACCGTGGCACCTTGGGTGGCACAGTGCAACACAATCCTCAAGGACACAAAAGGCAGAGGCCCACACAGAGGCCAGAGGTGTGGCCCCCGAGCAGCAGGAGGCAGAGGCGGCAAGGGATGTCCCTGGGGCATCACGCTAGCCCTGAGCACATCAGGGGCCTCTCGCTGCAGGACGGGGGCTTGGAGTCACCACTCTTCTTCCGAGACAGGTGCAGCTGGGCATTGGTGAGAGGCATTTCAGGCACGGTGTTAAATATCTGCAAGCATAATTGCACAGGACGGTTACAGGCTGCCGTGGACTGGGGAGAAAGCAGAACCAGTACAAAGGTGGGTGGTGATGTCTAAGATCAGCAACAAACCTTGAGAAGACCACCACTGTTTGCTCAGGACTTCATTTTAATCATCTCAAGGAACTGGGTTAAACCTTCTTGTTGGGAAGTGTATCCCAGAGCTTGGTAAGCATTTACTTCCTTCTCCTATTCTTCCACTGATCTTTTTGTTCTTCTCTCCAGGGGACATGGGAAGAATCTGTGCTAAATCTAAGCCATTGGCTGTTAAAAAGGCTTCAAGTTTTGTGACCACCTTTGTGCAGAATCAGAGTGTGAAATATGCATTTAAATAACACTCCAAACAGAACTCCAGTGCACACT